GGACACGCCTTCGCCGCTCCCGACATCCTGGCGCCCTGCGTCCAGTAGCCGCACTTGACGCAGAAGAGGTGGCTGCCTGCTCGCCACAGCTCGTGGGACTCGTGCGGATCGAGCCCCCGCCGCGGTGGAGGCGCGGGCGGAGGCGGGGGCGGCGGCTGCGCCACAGGTGCCGCCCCCCATTGCTCGCGAGCTGCCGCGGCCGCGCCGCCGCGGCCAGACGAGGCCCCTCCCCCTCCACCGTCACGCTGACCCCCGTCATCTGCTGCTGCTGCGCCCTGCGAGCCGCTGGCCTGGCTGGAGAGAAGCGCCGCGCTCGCTGTGAGGAGAGCCGCGGCCGCGTGGACCGAGCCCGAGGCTCCCTCCGAACCCGCAATCCACGAGCCCGAAATCGCCTCGCCCCGACCCGCGCACTCCTGGCAGGCCCAGGGCGTTCCGCTGCAGACCTCGAGCCATGTCCCATGTCTGCCGCGCGTCCTCCGCGAGCAGTCGCGAAATCTGCAGTGGCTCCTCCAGCGCAGCTTGCATCCCTGCTAGTCGCACCGCGCCGCCGCCATGCCTGGCTCCTCGTGGCCGTCCGCGGCAGTCAGCTCCGCGTCGCCCTCCTGCATGGCGGCGCCCAGCCAGCGGAAGACCTTCCTGACGGGGCGGTCCTGGCGCAGGCTGCGCGCGCGAACCACATCGTCCGCGGGATGCATCTCAGCGCCCTGAATGGCGCCAGTGTCCGCGCTGTGGTTGCCCCTGCGCTGCCAGGCGGTGATGTCCTGGAGCGCTCGCCACAAGCGTGCCCATAGCTCTCGGTAGGGTCGCTGCCACTGGAGGCACCACGCCTTGCCCGCTGCGAAGCCATCCACGAGCAGCTGGCAGTCGGTGTAGATCCTGACAGGCGGGAGGCAGTCCTGTAGCCCTTCGATGGCAGCTGCAAGCTCCGCGGTCCCCGACTCTTGTGGGCATGGCCAAGGGAGCGGGCCGAAGATGCTGAGGGCCTCCTCGTCGCGACTCATGACGACGGCAACCCAGCCACCCCGTGCGGACACCAGGCTGGGGTCCAGGGCGCTGCCGTCGGTAAAGAGGTCGCCAACAAGTAGTTGGCCCACAAGATCGGCGCGCCCTTCCTTGCGAGCCATACGCTCTTCCGTGGGCAGAGGGAGTGAGCGCCGATGCTCGGACGCCAGGGCCCTCGACCGCAGCGGGTCCTCCATCGCATCTGCGCTGGCCATGTCGACGAGGGTCCCGAAGTTGATGTCGTCGGGCGGCCTCCTCTAGTCTGCGTCGTCATTGGCCCCCCACTCTGCGCGGCCGAGCGCGGTGGCAAGGCGCTGCCGCGCCAAGTGCCGCACAGCGCGGTGTGCATTGTGCCCGCGAGGGCACCGGGGCGACGACGCCAGCGGCCGCTCCTCTGCGAAGCGGCGCGCCACAAGCCAGAGACAGCCGATCAGCGCGTTCTTGGCCGAGCTCATCTGCCTGACCGCTTGCTGGCTCATCCGCTTGCGGTGCAGGGCGCGCCCGATGCTGGACAGGACTCCCCTGCGGCCACGCGCTCCAGGCCAGGATGCCTGCCCGCGTCCCTCCACAGCAGCCGCCCATGGCTGGCGCCGATGTGTTTGGAGAGGGCCGACGCGCCCAAGGCCGTCAGCTCGATGGGCTGCTTCAGGTCGTTAAGGAAGGAGCCTGGCCGCAGAGCATCCCATCCCAGGCGATGGCATGCCAGCACGCAGGCCGATGCAGGGCGCCTGCCTGAAAGGGCCTCAAGCCCCTCCGCTCCCGAGTGCTCGCGAGTCCGCGCGGTCAGAGTTGAACTGCACCGCCTTGGCCCGCGCCACGATGGGCAGCGCCGCGTGGTCAACGAGCGGGTCGCTGGCCAGGCGCTTGCTGAGGAGGAAGCTGAGGCTGAGGCTCTTGCCAGTCCCTAAAGAGTTAGCCTCGACCAGGATAGTAAGTATGCACGGTAAGGATGCAAGGGCCTTGGAACGCCATGTTGACGTTTTCCGTGCGGATCGCAGCAGAATGCCGAAGGATGCCGAATACTGAAGGGACAGGGATGCAAGGGTAGCCTTGGAAAGTTGCCCCATCCTTACTATCATGGTTGACTGTAGCTGACCGAGAGCGGCATGACATGCACTTTTTCCGCCGTCGGGGGAGCCTGTCTCAGGGCGGCCGGTGAACTTACACCACTGCGGGGGCACCCCGGACCAAAGGTTGTAGGGCAGGTGTCCCTGTTGCCGGACAACTTTATGTCATGCAGTTCTTTGTCTGTTAAGAGAGGCGACACGAAATTCGCCTGCCCAACGGGCCAAGTAAACAACAATACTACCTATACGACCACCCTACGGGTGATAAGGAGGTTGGGGGGGGTGGAGGGGCCGAGCAATGGGCAACAGTGGTGATTGTTCTCCTGACGATTGTGATATCGGTCTCACTACCGATCTCACAATCGATATCACTATCGACGTCATCATCATCAACATCAACATCAACATCATCATCATCATCATCATCATCATCATCATCATCATCATCATCATCGCCATCATCAACATCATCTCATCATCATCATTACCATCATCATAATCATCATCATAATCATCATCATCATCATCCACATCATCATCGGGACACCGGCGGGACACCGACGGGACACCGGCGGGACACCGGCGGGACACCGCGCGCCACCGGCCGCCCGGCGGAGAATCATTTGGTCCGGCCGCGCCTCAGCCACAGGAGACTTTCCTCTCGCCCGCCCACGCAGCTTCGCCTCGCCCGCGCGGCACGCACGAACACGAAACCGAAATCGATTTCCCGGTAGGGGGGCTCTCCGTTCCACTTCGATCTCCCCCCCCAACCTCCGATCTCGCATTTGTCCACGATCACCTTCACCTTCCAACCGCGAGCCTTGCATCATCAGTACCATCGCGCGTGCGCCTCAACGCTTGCGCTGGGCGAGCGCCAGATCGACGATCGCAGCCCGCCTGGCTGCCGAGCTCCAGTGGGTGGCTCTTGCCATGGCTTGCGTTAGGGGTACCGATCGCATGAAGGGGGAGATCGAAGGGAGGGGGCCAGCGAAACGTCCAGGAGATAATCCCGCCAACCCTTGGGGCTCAGGTGGTCTGGCGAGTTCCTTCCTCTTTCAAGAGCCCTCCTCCCTTCGGGGGGGCTTGCCTCCCTCCCTGGGTATGGACAAGGGGGGGCCGAGGGGTTCGAGCGCCCAAGGCGACCCAATATGGCCCCAAGAGGGCCCAAGATGGCTCAACATGGCCGACGATGATTCAAGATAGCTTCCGACATAATTCCAAGAGGCCCGACGAAGGCCACAGGACGGTTCCAACTTCTCTCGGAGCCCACATCGGGAGCCCCAAGAGCGCCCGAGAGCGGCCCAAGAGCGCTCCAAGCGGGCCCCACGGGGCGATTTCGAGGTCCCCAAGGGGGGGGGGAGGGGGGGGGGCAAACGTTACGGCCCCAATCTTTTCACTGACGCCTTCCACGATAACCCCAAGAGGCCCTCCAAGGCTCCCAACAGGCCCCCAAGAGAGCCCCGCGAGGGCCCCCCAACCCCCCACAAGAGCCCCAAGAGGACCCCAAGATCCCCCCACAGAGTCCCAAGAAAACTCCAAGAGGCGATGTTGAGGGCTCTATGCTCGTACTCGTTGTTCTACTCCTCCTCGTCCTCGCCCTTGCCCTCACCGTCTTCCTAGTTTTTTTCCTTTTCCTCCTCTTCCTCGTCGTCGTGGTCGTCGTGGTCGTCGTCGTGGTCGTCCTCCTCCTCTTCCTCCTGCCTCGCGTGGGGCGAGCCAGCGAAACGCTGGTCGCCGATCCACCGCCCCCAGGACTCCGAGCCAATAACTACAATGTTTTACGGGTACTCTTGGGAGCGTGAGCACCCCTTCAGGATGATACCGGCTACAACAGCCTAGGCCCAGAGCTTTCAGTGCGAGTTCAGATTGAATAATTTCGCTCGAATGGGGAAGACAGGCAGACATTCTGTCGCCCCCACGCGGACCCGAAGAGGCCCTCCAAGGCCACCCCCTGGCTGCCCGCTTTGTTTCACTACGTGTGTCTCTTCGTCCCTTTTCCTCTCAACTCTTACGGGCAGGATTTCTACATACGCTGGTCTGGTGGGGGATACTTTTTGATCGCGAGTGTCGCGGAACCAACCGCGCACCGTCAGTAAGTCGAAAGCGGGCCTAACAGGCGGCTAACAGGCGACAGCGGAACGGCAGCAGAAGAGAAGGAGACAAGAGACACACGAGAAGAGAGCGAAAGAGGGAGAGAGGAAGGCAAGACAGGAACACGAAAAACAAAGCCGCCCCTTGCCGAACTGCCCGTACTTGACAGACGGCACAGCTTAACCGAACACGAGCATCCAGGTGGGATGACGCGAGACTCAAAGAGCCGCGGAGTGGACCACCGGCAGCAGAGGGGGGGTGGTGCGTAGGGCGCTTGCAGCCATCAATCCATCAGGCCAGCTCAACCTGGTGGGGGATACGTCGTACGCGACGCGTGAAGAATTCGCCCCCTACGGTAACGGTGCTCGAGGAGGACACCTAGGATAGGGAGCCCTGGGTCTGGGAGCCGGCGGAGCAAGGATTCGAGGCCTGGCCATGAATGCCACCGCCGACCTCATCCGAGAGGGCATCCTCCGGGGTCTGAAGCCTCCTGGGCACAGACCCACACGAACGCCCCCGCCGTCTGCTAGGGGAGGGGCGGCGGGAAGGGGCGGGGCCCACGGGCTCGGAAACGGCGCCGCTGCCGCGAGGAGGGCCAACAATTCCCTTTTGGGTGTCGCGCTGCCGCCGAGAGGGGGGCCTCGGGCACCACGGCGCCCCGCCTGGGCCAAGCGCCCTTCGAAACGAAAGATCTCTGTGATTCCGCTCGGACGAGGGCGGAATTCGAACTGGGTGCCCATCGGTCGGAAGAAGCGGGTAGAAACACGAAGTAGCGAGGCGTTGGAAGTATACATCGCCAGTCTTGGACCTCTGCCCGACCCCTGAAGACGAAGGAAGAGGAAGACCACTCGACCCTTGAAATAGGAGAGCGCTCGAAGCAGGTTGGAAAATGGCCACCCCAGAATACCTACTTTCAACGACCGATGGGCACGACTGCTTCAAACAGCACCGATGACAGGCGAGCCCAAAATACTCGTGGGATGCCTTGGCCGTTCCAGAGCATTCTGAGACGCTCTGGGAATCTCTGGATAGGATTGCTCGTATTTGGACGCCCGAAATGGGTACGGAAAGAATGGGAACAATGCCAAACAGCAAATGTTGTCCCAAACCAACAGCGGCCGCTGTTGGGCAGGCGGTCTTCTGTCTCGGATGGGCACAGGCCGCGGCGGCGTGGACAGCGAGTCCTGTTCAAAATGAACCAAATCCGCTGTTGGGCATTGTACCCGTTCTTTCCGTACCCATCTCTTTTGTGCAGATCGTATTATGACCCTGCCCGTCTTCCCATGCCGGCCCCAACTCTGCTCTGCGCCCTGGCTGTCCTCCGTTTATCAAACCTTCACGCCATCCTCTGCACACTCCTCGCCGTCACACTCTCGTGTGCACCTTCTTGCACCGCCCTACGGTACGCGCGCAACTGTCCGCGTGTACTGCTTGAGCCTTTCCGTTCATTTACCTGGCGCAGCGTCGTCGCAGTCGGCACGCACCCAATGTTCATGTCCCGCTCACGCTCGTTAGCTCACAGACTCGTGCGCGCCAGATCGCCCCATAATCTCGCCTCATGGGCTTCCAAACACAACCAGACTTTCCCCCCCACCGCCTCCGTCCCACTCAATTTTCCTCCTCCTGCTCCTCCTCCTTCTCCTCCCCTCGCCCCCGTTTCTGCCCCTGTCCTCACGTCCGTGTGCCTCGCTCTACTCCTGCTCTTCTTGGCGTGTGTCCTGTTGCCGTTGAGGTGCTCAGTCAACGCTGCCCGCTCGGCCAGCAGCTTCTTTTCCTGAACGGTGGATTCGGAAGTCAAGGCCCAGCTTGGAACGTCTACGGTGCATCCAATCAAACGAACCGCTCGCACCGACACTGCAAAGAGACGGCTGACAAACATATCTGCGAACAGATCGTCGATACCGACGTGGCAATGATGCGTGTGTATCTATCGCCACTCCCGCCTCCGAGAAATAACACATATCGACACAACACGAATACATGCATGGATTGCCACCCGATTATGTGTATGCCTGTGTGCGCGTGTGCGTCGGCACCTGCAAAATCATCACATACAAAATACCCGGCACCTGAATCAAAGGATGCTTCACTACTAGCGGCGAGACTGTGAGTCTATGCTACGTGACTGCGCTGAGAGACCCGAAAACGCTGAGCAGCTACCCGCCTGAGGCGGCTCCATGATACCGAGCGGCTCTGATAGCTACATTCTGTGGAGTGTATCGCATCTCCACAATCGCTCCATACCCAGAACCCTGTGACCACATAAGATAATGCGAAACCAGCTGGGCACATGCATCCGTGACACAAACAACTATGACACTCATGACCGATGTCTGATCTGTCACGCCCCGCTTCGTTCGCTACATCACGTGCACAATATATAAAGGGGGGCGGGCGGTCAGCCGTGCTACGACCATGTGTTGCGGTGCCCTGGTTCACAATCAAACTCCATGGGGCATGCGCATGGGAGCGCTGCCATACAACACATGTGCAGCCCTGGCCAAGTATCTGACAAAGGCTTCGCTAATGTCAAAGTATAAACTGCTGTTTGTAAGAAAGCATAACCTGACAAATCCACCCTAAGTAGCTTCAGCGTTCCACAACCATGATCTGATCTGGTCCGAGCGAGCAGCTGACCATGTAGTGATGGCGGCTGCCCGTATCTATATCCAGGGGCACCAGCAAGCATAATCCCACCAGCCCTTTGGGCGTGAGTGGTTTAGAGAGCCCGCTCTGTTCTCAACCCCCTTCTTCCCCTTCGGGGAGGGGTTTACCCCTCCCCCTACCCCCTCCCCCTGGGCGTGGAGAGGTCCCTCCGCGGGTCGTTGGGGGGGTCATTTTCGACTCCTGGGAGGGCGAAAAAACGACACGCCTCACGAGGATTCTGTCTCCGACGGGGGGAGGGAGAAAAAACCCTCTCCTCTTCTGTGAAGCCAAACTCATTGATTGTACTACGGTGTTGGCCCCATTTTGGCCTTCTGAGGGGGCAGTGCTCATTAAAGCTCCCCTCTCCTTTCAAGGCCAAACCATTGATTTTACGAAGGTGTTGGCTCAATATTGCCCTTCGGAGGGGGCAGCGCTCATTAAAGCTCCCCTCTTCTTGGATCGATTCCCTCCAAGATGGCCCCAAGAAGCGCCCAGGAGGCACCAAGAGGCCCCAAGATGGCCCCAAGAGGCCCCCAGGAGGCCCCCAAGAGGCCTCCAAGAGGCCCCCAAGATGCCCCCAAGAGGCCCCAAGAGGCCCCAAGAGGCTCCCCCGAGGCACCCAAGACGCTCCTGGAAGCCCCTGGGGCCGCCAAGAGGCCCCCAAGACGCCCCAAACGGCCTCCAAGAGGCTCCCAAGAGGCCCGAAGAGGCTCCCCCAAGGCACCCAAGACGCTCCTAGAAGCCCCTGGGGCCGCCAAGAGGCCCCCAAGACGCCCCAAAAGGGGACGAGGTGCCCGAACGCCTCACGCCACGAGGAGCCCGAACGACTCACACCAGGACGAGGGGCCCGAACGACTCACACCACGAAGAGCCCGAACGACTCACACCAGAAGGAGGGGCCCGAACGACTCACACCAGGACGAGGCGCCCGAACGACTCACACCACGAGGAGCCCGAACGACTCACACCACGACGAGGGCCCCGAACGACTCACACCACGAGGAGCCCGAACGAGTCACACCAGGAGGAGGGGCCCGAACGACTCACACCAGGACGAGGGGCCCGAACAACTCACACCACGAGAAGCCCGAACGACTCACACCAGGACGAAGAGCCCGAACGACTCACACCACGAAGAGCCCGAACGACTCACACCAGGAAGAAGGGCCCGAACGACTCACACCAGGACGAGAAACCCCAAACGACTCAAACCACGAGGAGCGCTTTCTCTCCCTCCTCCTCCGCCTCGTCCTTCTCCCGCTCCCACCACAAGGAGGATGTACAAGGAGGCGGGAGGAAGGAGGAACAGGGGAGATATGCGGGGGCAGGCGGAAACACGCCTGAAAAACACGACTGTCGGCATGCTTCGCAAGAGTTGCTGTTTTGAGATGGGCTGGTGGGGATACGCGAAGCGTAAAGAATTGACAAATTATACAGTAAGCATGACGATACAATCATGTGACGGACACGCGTCACGACTGGCGATGTTTGGATAGCAGCTTCGGCGGTAATATGTTCTACCGCCACATGGTATGAAATTGCGAAGCCACCTATCATGAACAACAACCGTTTGCAAGACAAGACTGACACACATCCCAACATCTTACGCGTTCTACAAAACCCTCGGCGTCATGGAGAAGACGGCCAGGGGCGGGGGACGGTGCGGGAGGAGAAGAAGACGTAGTTGTTTGCCCACATGGCTCCACAACCACAACAACGGCCACTACGTGAGGAACGATCCCACCGGCGACAGCAAAACTGGGGAATCGATAGGCAACAGTACTGAAAGACCGTCCTTCACCCTCTTCTCCCAGGGGGAAACATAATATAGCTCATCGTATGCGCGACACTTTGACGATCCCGATGCTCAGGACACCCGGGACGAGCCTGGCTATGGTCTCGAACCAGCTTTGACTCGGCTCCCCAGATCTCTTGCGCTGGGTCGCCTACTCCCCTCCGTGCCCAGCGTTGGTCTCTATGGGGCCTTAGAGGCGCTACAGTCTACGTAGCCAAGTTTCCTTATTTTCTTCGGGGCAGGGAGGTTTAGGAGGGGAAAGGGCTGGGGGAGGAAGGCTGGAATCTCCCAACTTGCTGAGGGGGAACGTGAGGGGGGCCAGCCCAGGGGGGGAAAAGGGAAGCGTCGAGCCCGCATCGGCGATACCGTCGCCGACAGATCGCCGAGAGGCCCCCGCTAGCGGATCCCAACTTTCCTGGGCGGGGTGGGCCCGCGGGCCCCTCTCCACGACAGGGCTGAACCTAAACGGTGTTTTTCGGTTTCGTTTTCGTTTTCCCTCGCTTTGTCTTCAACCCGCCGTCACCGCAGAGCGAAATCGAAACGAACACGGCCCACGAAATCGCCAAAACACCGTTTAGGTCCAGCCCTGCTCCACGATCCATGGGCGATCGAGGGTCGATGACCCCCCGCGCCCCCCCCCCCCCCACTCGGCCGGGCCCCGGCGGGATCCCCCCCCCCCCTTGGCCGGAAGGACGCGGGGGCCGACGCGTGGCGCGTGCTCGTCCCGAGCCAGCGGGGCGCGTGCGCTTCCGCCCTGCAGCTCTCTCGCGCCCTCCAGGCTGCGCTCTCTCCCCCTCCTCCCGCCAGACGGAGGGGGTGGTTTAGGGGGGGGGGGGCTCGGTAGGCCTGCCTACGCAAGGAGGAGGGTTGGAGGGGGGGCTTGTTTAGGGGGGCTGCCTACGCTCGGTTTAGGGGGTGGTTTAGGGGGAGGGGGGTCGGTAGGAAGGGTAGGAGGGGGGGGTGAGGGTAGGCCTGCCTACGCTCGGTTTAGGGGGTGGTTTAGGGGGGGGGGGCTCGGTAGGAAGGGAGGAGGATACAGAGGACTGGGGGGAAAGTCAGTGGTGCCCCAGCCGTCCCGTGGTTGTGGGCCCTCGCTTTGAAGAGACAGCGCCCCGGTTCTGCTCCTCCTCCTCTCCTCCTCCCCCTCCTCCTTCCTCCAATCCCTGCCTTTTCCTGCGCGTGCCAATTTCGGCGCACCCCTAGCACATTACGTTCCGTGGCCCCATAGGTACACCCCTCACACGTTTCGTGGCCCCAGAGGGAGCTCCACCTGAGGCCCCAGTGTCGACGTTCGCATGTGGGCGTCACCCCCGCTTCGGCGCACCCATCACACGTTTCGTGGCCCCATAGGGAGCTCCACCTGAGGCCCCAGAGGCGACGTTCGCATGTGGGCGTCACG